AGTGTGATGGCTTGTGTGTTTCTGTGATATGAGAAGTTATTTCCCCAATATTTCAAATACTAGCAGGAATACTCATGGTTGACAGGTTTCAGTGGAGGTAGACGGGCTAGCAAAACAAGCTTTGTGATCTACTTCCAACAAGCAACCAATAAAAGCTTTATAGATCACAACAGAATATGGTACTATGTAGTGCTGGAAGATGTGATTGCTAAGTTGTAAGACCCTCAAACTGCAAATGCAATACACGGCAACTGACAAAATGGTCTCTAGCATACTAACAATCTTGAAGATGGCTCAAAACCAGGTATTTCATTTTGTTTTACATGAGGTCGCTATGAATCAGGGCCAACTTGATGGCAGCAAACAATAACAACAATGATGATGAATGTGATTACAGATGGTGGTGACATTAATTTGTTCATATACATTGGAATTATAATAAATAAGACAGAAATTCTTTTGCTGTGACACCAATGTACTTGATATTTTAATAGAGATTAAAACATAAATATATAGCTGTACTTTTAAGAAACTACCATCACCAAATACTAATAAATACAAATGAATCTTCATGATTTTTGCTTTTTATGGCATCTATTTACTAAATATTTGTATCTGTCTGCTTCCATTTTTTCTAGGTCAATAAAAACTAAAATTGTTTAATTAGGAATGAAAGTCTTTATGCATTTCAGTGCAGAGCTGCAACTTTATATTTCAGTACACAATAAACTTCAGAGAACAAAGACTCTTCCTAAGAACATTGTGTTTTCAGAGTGACATTTGCTATTTAAAATAAAGTAAGTTAAATTAGAAATTAAGATGGATCCTTAGAGTAGAAAATCTTGAACACTTGATCTTGTATCTGTTTGGTTTTTACCCCATAAACTATAGGATTGAACAAAGGTGGGACAAGCAGATAAAGGTTGGACAGAAGAATATGAATGTAGGATGGAATGTGGAACCCAAACCTATGTGTAAAGAAGGAAAAGAAAGCCAAGAGGTAAAACTCCAGGAAGACACAGATGTGTGCAATGCAGGTGTTAAAGGCTCTCAACCTTGCTTCTTTCTGAGGCAGGCTAAAGACAGTTATAAATACCCAGATGTAGGAAAGTGTGATGAAGATGATGTCAAAGCCCAGTACGCTGAAAGCCACAAAAAGACCATAGACCTTGTTGATGCGAACATCTTCTGCTGCCAACTTCACGATAGCCATGTGCTCACAGTAGGAGTGGGAGACCACAGTGGTTCGGTAGAATTTCAGCCGGCATTTGATAAGGATTAGACATGGAGCTACAAGGAGAGCAGCTCTGAGTGTCACTCCAACCCCAATCTGGGTGATAAATTGGTGAGTAAATATAATTGAATGTCTCAAAGGATGACAGATTGCCACATAGCGATCCAGGGCCATAGCCAACAGAATACCTGACTCAATGCACTGGAATGTGTGGACAAGCCACATCTGCAAGAGACAGGTTTCAAAACATATCTCTGGTAAATGGAACCAGAAAATACCTAGCATTTTGGGTAGGATGGATGTACTGAGAGCAATGTCTGTTGCTCCAAGCATTGCCAGGAAGAGATACATGGGCTCATGGAGGCTGTGTTCAGATTTGATGATGACAAGGAGCAAGGAATTCCCAAAGATGCCAATGATGTACATGACACAGAAAGGAATTCCAATCCAGAACTGCACAGACTCCAGGCCAGGAATCCCAATCAGTGTCAGCAATGGGGGCATGAAAATTGTACCATTGAGCTTGAGCATGATGACTGAGCACAGCCTGAGTAAGGATGACCACTTCTCTTAGGAGTCTCTCTACTGTTTCCTCTTCTCACCTGTATTTACATAAATAGAGTTTGACTATAACTTCAAAAGTCATTTTGTCAAACCTGCTCATGTACTGATGGAACATTATATTTTTATTATTGAAACATAGCCAGAAGCACCTGTTGGACAGATTAGAACTGCCCCATATTTTACAAGGCTATAAATCTTTGTAGAAGACACATTTTCCTCTTGTGGAGTGGCTGGTGGGTTTGACCCACTTATGTTTAGGTAAGCAACTGAACACTTTTACTACTGTGTAACTCTGACCCTTTATTTAGACATAAATAATACAAATTAAACTTGCCATTGTCAAACAGTAGACTAGGCTAATGTAGATTTCACTAATGCTTGATAAATAGACAGTCTTCTTAGGAAAATTTAGATTTGCAGATTTTTGATTTGGGAAGATTTTGCGTAGGAGTACAAAGGCAAAAAGCAAAAGATACTATGCAGTTTATTTCCCCCAGGCACTTTTTCTATTGTCAAAATCTAGTCAATAATTAGGAGCTCTCGTAGCATAGCGTGTAAGGCACTTGACTGCTAACCAGAAGGTTCGTGGTTCAAATCCACCAGCCACTTCTCAGAAAGAAATTTGGGCAATCTACTTCCATAGCAATACAGCCTCAGAAACCCAAGGTGGGGTCTCTGTGCTGGAGCCAACTCGAAGGCACATAATGACAACATCAATAAATAAACATTTATTTTAAAATGTATACAAGAAATAATTGATCTTAATTAATATTTTTAGTAAACTAAATCAGAAAATATCCAAATAAGGACAAAAAACACTTCAAGTATACTTTGCTGTATTAGGTAATCATATTAGTTCAGCAAGATTCATGTTATGATAAGGTCTTAATTTTAAAAAAATCTTTTGATATAGAGAATAAAGTTTTGATGGATGAAGTGATGTTTAAATGTTTTAAATAAAACTACAGCAAATTCATATTATTTTGAATAGTTTCTTTAAAACAAGAGTGTTTTCATACAAACCTAGTCGTCATAAATCCTGTTATCTGTTTCAACTTCCTTTTCCTATGTAAGACATCACTGGATATTAATTAATACATGTCTCAGTTTCTAGTTTACTGTCATTCATTCTGCCCTGGATGTGTTAATATCTCTTCCAATTTTGCAATTCCTATTTTTACAACAGTATCATAATCTCCAGAAGCTTATGTTTCCTCTTGCATATTGAATCTTGACATATTAATATTGAGTTCAATTAAGTTCAAAATCCTTTTATTGAGCTTCTGCTCTCTGTGAGGCACTGTGTCAAGAGTGGAGTAAATAAACATTAAAGCTACAGAACTTGCAGCAGAAAAAGAGGCTGTACTCTTTTATGTCTTTATTTTTCTGTTTCATTTTCATACTAGAACTTTGGCCCTAAAATTGTACTGTACCTTGCATCCACATCATATATGTTTAACCTAACAATGCTGTTTCTCTCTGATATAAATATAAAACATTCTTCAACATTTAGTTCTTACTCCAACAAATTTAAGGCCAGATGTACATATACAAAGCCCTCAACACAAATTGTCCCTGCAAGAGTTTAACATGCTTGGTTGCTAACTAAGAGGTTGTCAATTGCAATCCAGCCAGAGGGACCTCTGAAGAAAGTTCTGACAATCTACTTCTGAAAAATCAGCCATTGAAAACTCTGTTTAATACCAGTCTGTTCTGACTCACTCAGGATCGCCTTGAATCAGATTGAATTGACCACAGTTTTCAACATAAATTGTTGTTTCCTTCAGTGAATTTCAATGGAAAGAGTATTCTATGTCTGAGCATGTAACATTATGAAATGATGTGACATGGACATATATGGAAAAGTTGGACGTTTTCCTCCAAAATTATCACAAGGGTTTGTAACTCCTTGAAATAATTGTCCTTGAAGCCTTAACCCTTAAACCAAAATTTTTCCTGAAGTCTTCCTAAACAAAACAATGTTGTTGTTGTTGTTATTTGCCATTGAGTTGGCCCTACTCATAGAGACCCCTCCTTGGGTTTCCGAGGCAGTATCTCTACGGAAGTAGGAATGCCCAACCTTCCTTCTGAGGAATGGCTGGTGGGTTTGAACCGCCAGCTTTCTGGTTAGCAGTCAAGTGCCTTAGGCACTATGCTACCAGAGCTCCCTAAACATATAGTTTAGCCTAATGAATGCCTTGAGCATAGTGATCTTTTGAGATATGTCTGTATGAAATCAAACTGACAGTGACAACTGGAGAGATTATGTAGGAAACTGAGTGGGCAGTAAGTATGTTAAGAGGGAAGAAAAATTTGAAAAAGACAGATGATAATGTTTGTATAACTCAAAGAATATAATTAATGTCACTGAATTATACATGTAGCAATTGTTAATTTGGTGTATGTTCTCAGGTTATTTTCAACAACAAAATATAATAAAATATACATTAAAAAATATTATCACTATATTGAAGCCTTGATTAATTCAAAACTTACTTCTATGATGCCCTAAACCCTTAAAAAATAGTGGGGTAATCCAGGATTAAGTTAACTCTCTAAGCAGGTAAAATCAAACTTCCACTCAGTTTAGCTCTCAGATATTCTCAATTCCATACACTGGAACCACATGCCAACTCTCTGGACTGATATAATCATTCTGTCCATTGGCCCTTGTTCTTCTTCCCTCCACTCACCACTGTCTACCTAACCTAATCCTGACCATTCCACTACCATTCCTTCACAAATGGGCACAAGCACACACACAGACTCACATATACAGTCATTATTTGAGAAACTTATCTGGTCAGGTCCATTTCAAATATTCATATATGTATGGATTCTTTTGTCTGTATGAGAATTAAACAAAACAAACAAACAAACAAAAAGGTTTCTAAGGCAACTGCTTGTCATTTTTCATACCTCCAATTTTTCACATTGCCAATTCCTTCTTTTTTGTGTACCTTATTAGCTGTGCCAGAGCCAGAGTGCAGGAAGAACTGGAGAATGCAGATTAGAAAAATAGAGAACTTGTATTCTAAAAGTGCTGGGAATCAGTATGTCGATGGATAAACTTCATCTGTTTTAATTAAAGCTTTACTTCCAATCTTGATGCACGTAAGAACACATAGCTGTCTTAGCCGAATGTTGGAAGAATATTTCCATGACAAAAGAAGAAAAGAAAAAGGAAATACACATTGGTACAAAAGGAAAGCAGTACTATTTATTTCTACTACTATGCCCGAGCTCAAATCCCATATGAAATATACTCACCCTTTCAGGATTTCTGTTCAGTACTGACTGTGTATGCCAGTTTGCATGGTTGAGTTCCCCACATTCCCTTTGAATATTTCCTAAATATTTATTTCTCTACTTGCAAGTATCTGTGAGAACAATAGTCACAAGCTTAATGATTCAACCTTCTTGTGTGCATACAACACCACATGCTGGTGTGGAAATCTATATAAATAAATCTCTTCCCATGAGAGCAATATTGAACAAATATACTGTCAACACATGGACAGGACTATGCTGTAAGTCACCTGACAAATGGACAAGTGACAAAATTGACTTCTCAATAGGCCACCAAATTTAACCACTCCCTCCCTTTTTTTTTTTTTTTGTATGAAGAGGTTTCTCTGATAGGCAACCACATTCTAATTGGCATTTTATGTTGAAATTATAAAGATTCCCCTGTGTTCTCCCCATAAAATAACTTTCTGCAATATAAGTCTCAGTTCTAGGCTTCCTTTAACCTTTCAGTTAATAAAAGAGAAGTCAA